GCACAGGAAAGAAAAAGAAAACTACAAGACTGCACCAATAACGATAATTGAATTATCGAGTTCTTATAGGGAAAGCCAGGCGCCAGACATGAGAGTGATTGATTGACAGTTCTTTAGATCCCATCGACACAAGTTCGATCATTTGGGGTGCCGACTGCTTCGCCCCTGCCAGCCAGGGCTAGCCCAGGCCGATAAGGTCACAGCATCTAGGGTAATAGGTCATCACCATGTTACATCCTGTGTCATGGTGTCTAATGTGTCGTCATTTCATGTATGTTACAGAGATACGCTGATCATCCTTGTGTTGTATCTATTCGTAAATAAAAGGACTCTATAAACTAGACGATGAGGAGTCAGTAAATCTTTATGATAATCGGCGTATGTCTGCTGATTCATCATTTTCTTTGTTCCCAGTCCATATGGCCTCCCCAGAAATGCCTTACGACGAGATGTTTGCATAACACTCCCGCCCGTAGACCGCTGATGATGAGCAATCAGCTGTAGTAAGACTTGTGAAGGTAAAAAGTGTGTGAGTGTGTGTGTGAGTGTGTGTGTGTGTGTGTGTGTGTGTGTGTGTGTGTGTGTGTGTGTGTGTGTGTGAGTGTGTGTGTGTGTGTGTGTACTTAGTACCTCTTGGCGAGACCGACCGCTACCACTGCTACCACTGCCGTCGTCTTCCAGCACACTCGAACTATAACGGAACTCATGTTTTCTGCTTTTTAGTTTTAGTTAGTAAGTGTTTTACGGCATTTGCAACACAATAAGGTCATATAAATGCCGAAGATTAGAGGTGTTACAAGAGAGTAACAAACACAAAATAGAAGGAGGGGAGAAAAGGACGACAGATGTTTGATAGGAAGGAAGGAGCAAACCATACCAGAGCACCCGTCAACCACCCGCTTGTCATCTGCGTGTGAAGGCAAAGAGCCCAAAGAGCCCACTCATTAGACCTGCTGCACTGGTAGGTAAACGGGCGAAGCGAGTGCTAAGAATGACGTAAAAGGGAATAAAGTAACATCTACCACAATATCTTTATATAACTAATCTAAAGACCACCAACAGCATTATAGTAGGGTCTAAGCGACTGCTGGTTCAAAGCTGCCCGAACAAGGAAAATGATAACTACAACAACAACATAACGATAACAATAATAATAATAATTTTAAAAAAATAAAAATAAAATCATCATTATAATAATAGGTATCATTATATATTATTGATAACGGGTAGAGGAGGAAGTAAGCGAACAAAAGCGACATGATGCCCAATGACAGGTTCTTCTATTTCTCCCGTCTGTAAGATTAACGACCTCTGCGCCGTAATTGAACTTTGACGCACACTGAGACTGGGAGGGGGG